TGCGCGCGCACTTCCGTGATTACCGTGTCCAAAAGCGAAACTATTTCGTTTATACAGCACTGACAACCCAAGTTTCCAAGCCTTGGTTCTCCTTCATTTACACGAAAAAATCTTTCGCCTTTTACTAAAGATTTCCGTGGAGGAGAACAACACAATGGGCCTAAGGGTATTTTTTGTCGCCCGCCGGATTTTCCAGGCGGGTGTTTATCAAAAGTGTACGAGATCAACAGCTGGCGTAATCCGGATTCCCAATGCTCCTTTCTTGGCAGAAGGCTATTGATCACGCCAAAATATCAAACGACACCCCACAATTGATTGAGCAACTGCGAATTAAAAAACAATTATATTCGTCACAATTGATAACATTGGCGCGCACTTCCTGACTACCGTGTTCCAAAAGCGTAACTATTTCGTTTATACAGCACTGACAAGCACCAAAGTTTCCAAGCCTTGGTTCTCCTTCATTCACACGAAAAAATCTTTCGCCTTTTACTAAAGATTTCCGTGGAGGAGAACAACACAATGGGCCTAAGGGTATTTTTTGTCGCCCGCCGGATTTTCCAGGCGGGTGTTTATCAAAAGTGTACGAGATCAACAGCTGGCGTAATCCGGATTCCCAATGCTCCTTTTCCTGGCAGAAGGCTATTGATCACGCCAAAATATCAAACGACACCCCACAATTGATTGAGCAACTGCGAATTAAAAAAACAATATATTCGTCACAATTGATAACATTGCGCGCGCACTTCCGTGATTACCGTGTCCCAAAAGCGAAACTATTTCGTTTATACAGCACTGACAAAAACCCAAGTTTCCAAGCCTTGGTTCTCCTTCATTTACACGAAAAAATCTTTCGCCTTTTACTAAAGATTTCCGTGGAGGAGAACAACACAATGGGCCTAAGGGTATTTTTTGTCGCCCGCCGGATTTTCCAGGCGGGTGTTTATCAAAAGTGTACGAGATCAACAGCTGGCGTAATCCGGATTCCCAATGCTCCTTTCTTGGCAGAAGGCTATTGATCACGCCAAAATATCAAACGACACCCCACAATTGATTGAGCAACTGCGAATTAAAAAAACAATTATATTCGTCACAATTGATAACATTGCGCGCGCACTTCCGTGATTACCGTGTTTCCCCGAAAAGCGAAACTATTTCGTTTATACAGCACTGACAAACACCAAAGTTTCCAAGCCTTGGTTCTCCTTCATTTACACGAAAAAATCTTTCGCCTTTTACTAAAGATTTCCGTGGAGGAGAACAACACAATGGGCCTAAGGGTATTTTTTGTCGCCCGCCGGATTTTCCAGGCGGGTGTTTATCAAAAGTGTACGAGATCAACAGCTGGCGTAATCCGGATTCCCAATGCTTCTTTTTCCTGGCAGAAGGCTATTGATCACGCCAAAATATCAAACGGCACCCCACAATTGATTGAGCAACTGCCAATTATATAAAAACGGCGGGTATTTATCAAAAGTGTACGAGATTAACAGCTGGCGTAATCCGGATTTCCAATGCTCCTTTCTTGGCAGAAGGCTATTGATCACGCCAAAATATCAAACGCGACACCCCACAACTGATTGAGCAACTGCTAATTATAAAAACAATAATATTCGTCACAATTGATAACATTGCGCGCGCACTTCCCTGACTACCGTGTTCCAAAAGCGTAACTATTTCGTTTATACAGCAGTGACAAGCACCGAAGTTTCCAAGCCTTGGTTCTACTTCATTTGCACGAAAAAATCTTTCGCCTTTTACTAAAGGTTTCCGTGGAGGTGAACAACACAATGGGCCTAAAGGTATTTTTTGTCGCTCGCCGGATTTTCCAGGCGGGTGTTTATCAAAGGTGTACGAGATCAAAAGCTGGCGTAATCCGGATTCCCAATGCTCCTTTCTTGGCAGAAGGCTATTGATCACGACAAAATATTAAACGACATCCCACAATTGAGTGAGCAACTGCTAATTATAAAAACAATAATATTCGTCACAATTGATAACATTTCGCGCGCACTTCCCTGACTACCGTGTCCCAAAAGCGAAACTATTTCGTTTATACAGCACTGACAAAAACCCAAGTTTCCAAGCCTTGGTTCTTCTTCATTTACACGAAAAAATCTTTCGCCTTTTACTAAAGATTACCGTGGAGGAGAACAAGACAATGGGCTTAAAGGTATTTTTTGTCGCCGGATTTTCCAGGCGGGTGTTTATCAAAAGTGTACGAGATCAACAGCTGGCGTAATCCGGATTCCCAATGCTCCTTTTCCTGGCAGAAGGCTATTGATCACGCCAAAATATGAAACGACACCCCACAATTGATTGAGCAACTGGTAATTATAAAAACAATAATATTTGTCACAATTGATAACATTGCGCGCGCACTTCCGTGATTACCGTGTCCCAAAAGCGAAACTATTTCGTTTATACAGCACTGACAAACACCAAAGTTTCCAAGCCTTGGTTCTCCTTCATTTACACGAAAAAATCTTTCGCCTTTTACTAAAGATTTCCGTGGAGGAGAACAACACAATGGGCCTAAGGGTATTTTTTGTCGCCCGCCGGATTTTCCAGGCGGGTGTTTATCAAAAGTGTACGAGTTCAACAGCTGGCGTAATCCGGATTCCCAATGCTTCTTTTTCCCTGGCAGAAGGCTATTGATCACGCCAAAATATCAAACGGCACCCCACAATTGATTGAGCAACTGCCAATTATATAAAAACGGCGGGTATTTATCAAAAGTGTACGAGATCAACAGCTGGCGTAATCCGGATTCCCAAAGCTCCTTTCTTGGCAGAAGGCTAATGATCACGCCAAAATATTAAACGACACCCCACAACTGATTGAGCAACTGCTAATTATAAAAACAATAATATTCGTCACAATTGATAACATTGCGCGCGCACTTCTCTGACTACCGTGTTCCAAAAGCGTAACTAGACAGATTTAGAAAAGACGACGCGGCGTCTAAGACGACGTAAGATGGCGCACGATTACCGGGTCGAGGACGCCGTCGTGTTGTGAGTAAAAGTTATTTAGATTTGCAAAGACGAACCAAAGAAGACGGGCGTTTGCCATCGAACTTCGATAATAATTTCTTTGTACTAAAAGTTTAAAACGCTGAGACGAATCGTCCTTGCACGGTGCTATATTCTTCGAAAGAAAGGCTGAATAGAGAAAATATGGAATGCAAACATTCAGACATATTTTAATATGCATTGACATTTGCGCGATAAGTGACTTTACGTATCTAGATATTTTCTTTCTTTATAACAGTAATATTGTTTAGTTTATCCTTTAGGCTTTAGTATATTTATGACATGTAAAAACGTTTACAAATCAAATTTAAATCGTTTCTTTTAAATTTCTTGTGCTATCGTCATGATGTCGTGATTTTTTACGCTTAAAGTTTTTGTATTTCGTAAACATTGCATATTTTAAAATTATGGCGGCTGGTGGTCTTGAAGCTGTCAGAGATGCTTTGATGGTTGCTAATGCAGAGAATATAATTGACGACGAAGAGTTTGTATTGCTGTACGAATACAATCAATCGAAGCAGGTTTTTCCGCATTGGAAATTTCAAGATTTTGACTTGGAGAGTTGGGATGATGTAGAGTGCAACACAGAGTTACGGTTTGAAAAAAAGGACTTGCCCACATTGATGAGATGTTTACAAATCCCGGAAGAGCTAGTCTGCAAGCAAGGTACCGTCTGCAGTGGCATGGAGAGTTTATGCATTTTCTTGAAGAGGTTGGCCTACCCTTTTTGGTATACAGATATGGCATATCGGTTTGGTCGGAGTCCTCCTGAGTTATGTCTTATATTCAATAAAGTATTGGATATTGTTTATGAGACACATCACCATCGACTAGAAAGCTGGGATCAGCCCTTCCTATCGCCGGACCAACTGCACAACTATGCCCAAACAGTACATCAATGTGGCGCCCCTTTACACAATTGTTTTGGATTTGTAGATGGGACAGTCAGAGGGATAACACGACCAAAGTACCATCAACGAGTCATGTACAATGGCCATAAGCGTGTGCATGCCATTAAATTTCAAAGCATTGTTTTGCCAAATGGTCTTATTGGTAACCTTTCTGGCCCGTATGAAGGAAAACGTCATGACAGCATCATGTTGCAGGAGTCTGGTGTCCTACCTAATCTGAGACGTGTTGCCTTCCACAATGGTGTGCCACTTTGCCTCTATGGTGACCCTGCCTACCCTTTGGGAGTGCACCTTCAAGCACCCTTCAGAGAAGCTGCACTAACCCCTGAAATGGAAGCTTACAACAAAGCGATGAGTGAACTCAGAGTGTCAGTGGAATGGATGTTTGACAACATAACAAAGTATTTCAGTTTCATTGATTTTAAAAGACAAATGAAAATACATTTAAGTGCTATTGGTAAAATGTATGTTACTTGTGCATTGCTTGAAAATACTCGAACCTGCCTTTATGGTAACATTGTGTCAACTTATTTTGGACTTACACCACCTACTTTGCATGAATATTTTTGGTGAGTTTCAAATTATGACCAAACTGTTTTCAGATTTTTTTCTGAACACTAAGTTCTAAGACAAAGTTCTATTATGCTAATTATAAACAATTATAGTTGAAACATATTTGTTGAAAACATTTGTTTAATAATTGTTCAAAAATTCAATTTCATTAATTATAAATGCAATCAATGTTGAATAATATATTACAACATTTATGTAAAAATATGAATAATTTTAAAATATAAATATTGCTGAATAAAAATTTATAACTTCATGATATGTAATTGGTAATACTGTAAATCCTCTATTAACTTTTCAGAATAATTAATTATTCAGAATTTCCATCAACAATAACCTTCTTCAGCATTTTGTTGTACAAACATGATTTAATAGAAGATTTTCAGTAAACAATTTAAAAACACTATTTGTAAATTATCAATGACTTCAATGTCTCAAATAGTAATTTGTAACAATATTAGATTAAAGTAAGAAAATTTTAATATTAATTGTTTTTTAATAAATTTGCCAAGACTTGTATTTGTTGTTGTTGTTGTTGCATTATAGATAACATTTGTTGCTGCAGCAGGGCAAATTGTTCTTGTTGTTGCTGTTGTTGAACTTGTTGGTCATACCTGAACTGATGGAGCTGGGCAGTGCTATTCTCATGCATCAACTTCATCTGTTCCACCAACATCATCCTTTCTTCCTTCATGCTGTTTTGCTGTTCTTGCTTCTCTTTCAGTTCTTCCTCCCTCATCTTCTTGTTCATCTCTGCCTTCTCTCTCAACCATTCCAATGTCTCACCTGAGGACCTTCTCTTCCTAGTCTCTTTATTATTTCCTTGCCTCTTTTGCGTCTCTCCAATTCGCTCCAAAGCTCTTTGCCGCATCTCTAATGCCTGCCCCCTTTCTTTCTCTGCTGCAGTTTTCTTTTCATCATCTTCTTCCTCTGCTCTCCTTTCTGTTGCCTCGTTTATCTCCACCAACTCCTCCAACAATCTCTCCTGTTCTGACAGCTCCTCAACACTGATTCCACTTGCTCTCTCTTCTTGTGCCATTCTGGCTTTGTGTCTTTTCTCCAGTGCCTTGAAGTGGTCACGGACAGCTCGAGAAGTGACTTCTACATTTTCGCATGTGGAGCCCAACTTGCTTGCCACCAGTTGCCAGCCAGCCCCCCTGTCCCTAGACTTGGCTTTGTGTTGAAGGACGCCTTCGGCAGCTATCTCTCTCAACAAATGAATATCCTTCTGCTCATTCCAGGTGAAAACGCGTCTAAACATAGGAATAAAAATAAACTAAGGCATTGGTACTAATAGGCCAAAGTTAAATAGAAACTAAAATGCCTATGTGGCCTATGTGCATAAATAGCTTTTACTTCTTGTAAAATTAAATATATTTGTAAGTTCACAGTATTATAACTTACTTTTTTTTCAAGCTGCTATCCTCCATAGTGAGATGACAGACGAATACAATTTGAATTATTATAAAATTTAACTCTAAACGATATAAATAATAAAAACACTGTTAAAACAAAATTACAGTTGATAAATACCTCGCTATATGATCGAGTCTTCTGACCCGATATTTTAATATATAGTTATATGTTTATGTTTTATATATTGCATTAAAACTTGTACGAGAAAACAATGTTAATGAATGTAAACACTAATACTAGTAAAATATGTAAAAACATCTTCATTTAGTCCTGCAAACAGCTCATCATTTCAATAGTTGATTATTTTGTAGTTTTTGTTCGTATTGTATTTCTTTTGATCTTTTCAACCAAATTTATGTACGACGGAAACGCTTTGGCGGAACCAGAAATATTTTTTGCACAAATGCTATTTTAATTTATGTGCATAAATGCATCCGTAAATGCGCACAATATTTTAAAAGCATAAAAAATAAGCATAGTAGACAATTATTTATAGAATTCTTTATTTCGTGCGTCCTTTTACGTACCTTTTCTGGAAAAAAAAAGCACTTTGAGTTGCCGTCCTAAACAGGACGTGAAAAATAGATTTTGGCGTCCTGAAAATCTCTGTGACGACGTCGCAATCAAGACAACGCCATATTTTCGCGCCAAAATACGCCATCTCAGTGATCTCACGTCGTCTTAGACGCCGCGTCGTCTTTTCTAAATCTGTCTACTATTTCGTTTATACAGCAGTGACAAGCACCGAAGTTTCCAAGCCTTGGTTCTACTTCATTTGCACGAAAAAATCTTTCGCCTTTTACTAAAGGTTTCCGTGGAGGTGAACAACACAATGGGCCTAAAGGTATTTTTTGTCGCTCGCCGGATTTTCCAGGCGGGTGTTTATCAAAGGTGTACGAGATCAAAAGCTGGCGTAATCCGGATTCCCAATGCTCCTTTCTTGGCAGAAGGCGATTGATCACGCCAAAATATTAAACGACATCCCACAATTGATTGAGCAACTGCTAATTATAAAAACAATAATATTCGTCACAATTGATAACATTTCGCGCGCACTTCCCTGACTACCGTGTCCCAAAAGCGAAACTATTTCGTTTATACAGCACTGACAAAAACCCAAGTTTCCAAGCCTTGGTTCTTCTTCATTTACACGAAAAAATCTTTCGCCTTTTACTAAAGATTTCCGTGGAGGAGAACAAGACAATGGGCTTAAAGGTATTTTTTTGTCGCCGGATTTTCCAGGCGGGTGTTTATCAAAAGTGTACGAGATCAACAGCTGGCGTAATCCGGATTCCCAATGCTCCTTTTCCTGGCAGAAGGCTATTGATCACGCCAAAATATGAAACGACACCCCAAAATTGACTGAGCAACTGCGAATTAAAAAAACAATTATATTCGTCACAATTGATAACATTGCGCGCGCACTTCCGTGATTACCGTGTCCCAAAAGCGAAACTATTTCGTTTATACAGCACTGACAAATACCCAAGTTTCCAAGCCTTGGTTCTCCTTCATTTACACGAAAAAATCTTTTGCCTTTTACTAAAGATTTCCGTGGAGGAGAAACAACACAATGGGCCTAAGGGTATTTTTTGTCGCCCGCCGGATTTTCCAGGCAGGTGTTTATCAAAGGTGTACGAGATCAACAGCTGGCGTAATCCGGATTCTCAATGCTCCTTTCTTTGCAGAAGGCTATTGATCACGCCAAAATATCAAACGACACCCCACAATTGATTGAGCAACTGCGAATTAAAAAAAAACACTTATATTCGTCACAATTGATAACATATGCGCGCGCACTTCCGTGTTACCGTGTCCCAAAAGCGAAACTATTTCATTTATACAGCACTGACAAACACCGACGTTTCCAAGCCTTGGTTCTCCTTCATTCACACGAAAAAATCTTTCGCCTTTTACTAAAGATTTCCGTGGAGGAGAACAACACAAATGGCCTAAGGGTATTTTTTGTCGCCCGCCGGATTTTCCAGGCGGGTGTTTATCAAAAGTGTACGAGATCAACAGCTGGCGTCATCCGGATTCCCAATGTTCCTTCTCCCTGGGAGAAGGCTATTGATCACGCCAAAATATCAAACGACACCCCACAATTGATTGAGCAACTGCTAATTATAAAAACAATAATATACGTCACAATTGATAACATTGCGCGCGCACTTTCCTGACTACCGTGTTCCAAAAGCGTAACTATTTCGTTTATACAGCGCTGACAAGCACCAAAGTTTCCAAGCCTTGGTTCTCCTTCATTCACACGAAAAAATCTTTCGCCTTTTACTAAAGATTTCCGTGGAGGAGAACAACACAATGGGCCTAAGTGTATTTTTTGTCGCCCGCCGGATTTTCAGGCGGGTGTTTATTAAAAGTGTACGAGATCAACAGCTGGCGTAATCCGGATTCCCAATGCTTCTTTTTCCCTGGCAGAAGGCTATTGATCACGCCAAAATATCAAACGGCACCCCACAATTGATTGAGCAACTGCCAATTATATAAAAAAAATTATATACGTCACAATTGATAACATTGCGCGCGCACTTCCGTGACTACCGTGTTCCAAAAGTGAAACTAATTCGTTTCTATAGCACTGACAAACACCGAAGTTTCCAAGCCTTGGTTCTCCTTCATTCACACGAAAAAATCTTTCGCCTTTTACTAAAGATTTCCGTGGAGGAGAACAACACAATGGGCCTAAGGGTATTTTTTGTCGCCCGCCGGATTTTCCAGGCGGGTGTTTATCAAAAGTGTACGAGATCAACAGTCGGCGTAATCCGGATTCCCAATGCTCCTTTCTTTGCAGAAGGCTATTGATCACGCCAAAATATCAAACGACACCCCACAATTAATTGAGCAACTGCGAATTAAAAAAACAATTATATTCGTCACAATTGATAACATTGCGCGCGCACTTCCGTGATTACCGTGTCACAAAAGAGAAACTATTTCGTTTATATAGCATTGACAAAAACCCAAGTTTCCAAGCCTTGGTTCTTCTTCATTTACACGAAAAAATCTTTCGCCTTTTACTAAAGATTTCCGTGGAGGAGAACAACTCAATGGGCCTAAAGGTATTTTTGTCGCCCGCCGGATTTTCCAGGCGGGTGTTTATCAAAAGTGTGCGAGATCAAAAAGTGTGCGAGATCAACAGCTGGCGTAATCCGGATTCCCAATGCTGCTTTCTTGGCAGAAGGCTATTGGTCACGCCAAAATATCAAACGACACCCCACAACTGATTTAGCAACTGCTAATTATAAAAAAATAATATTCGTCACAATTGATAACATTGCGCGCACTTCCGTGACTACCGTGTTCCAAAAGTGAAACTATTTCGTTTATACAGCACTGACAAGCACTGAAGTTTCCAAGCCTTGGTTCTCCTACAAAAAAATCTTTCGCCTTTTACTAAAGGTTGCCGTGGAGGAGAACAACACAATATGCCTAAGGGTATTTTTTGTCGCCCACCCGAAAATAGGGCGAAAATAGGGTGATCTCATTGGTCGAGAGCTCACGTTACAACTTTCTAATCGCTTGTCCAATCTCCTTTGGCTTCTATCTATCAAAAGATATGCTTTTAATACCAAATTGTGAAAAATGAAAACATACGAGGCTGATAAAAAACTTTAGTCACAATCGCATATTTTCACCTTTGAGCCTAATCAAAGCAGTGCATAACAAAAGAACAAAAACAATTAATCACGAACATGTTACAGCTTGCACTGGTTTTACAACATGTTTATTGCGATTATTTACATTTACACTTTTAAAAAGAGATTATGCGTCATGCCTTCAACTTGACCACCATCTCTATATCGATAGAGTTAACATCGCCGCCGCATTGCTTGGAATGTTCTCCTGATGTGATTTATTCCTACTTACCATGCATTGGCGGGTAGTTTATTCGGAAGCAAAATTCTTCAATTAAGTCCTAAAGGGAGTTAATTTTCAATGGTTTTAGTCCCAACTTTCAGAGGTGAGAATATGCGATTTTTACTAACACTTTTTATCAGCCTCCTATTTGCTCATTTTTTTTATCATTTGGTATTAAAAACATGTCATTCGATAGTTAACTAAAAGCCTAACCTTTCCGAATGTGAAAAAAATTCATTTGCTGGAATGAGTAGTTCACGTACAATAGCGCCCCAAAGTTGGATTACCCTTTTTTTATACACCCTGTGAAGCATAATTTGATGCGTGCACATTATAAGATTAAGCAACAATATTCGCGTTAGCTTGTACGTGCGCTTCATTAGCTCAGTGGTTAGAGCACTGGTCTTGTAAACCAGGGGCCGGTTGTTCGAAAGATGGATAACTTATCCAACGGATAAATCTGCTATCCAGTGGATAGTTATCCATTGGATAATAACGCGTTGCACGAAGCGTGGATAGTGATCGAAGTGGATAGCTATCCAATAGATAAGGTAAAATTTACCGGAAGAAAACAGGATTATCCTGAAATTTCGTACCACAACGTCAGCTGTTGCTAAGCATTTACAACATTGAATTCATAATCATTACGAATTCTCGAGTATAATTACTGAATGGAAAAGACTTGAACAAGTGATTTAATCGAACTTTGCACTTCACATCATAGTGATTTTATTAATCAAACACATTGCAATTTTATTCCTTGACCTTGCAACGCTTTGCCTTTCGGTTCCATAGCTAATTTAGGAACACTATTTTAATGTTCGTGAATGAAATTACTTAGATATTAGCAAGTTTCCTTGGAATAGGTTGAATCTTTCTTTGCATATTCGCGTTTATAAACTGATTAGAAGCGTATAGTAAATTTACCGCCTGTTATAAATGCGAGGATCTCCAAAAAATCGCCGCTCGGAACGGAAAGTGTAGGCAACGTGAAACGCGCTGCGACAAATTGCACTTCGAAAACATTTTTAATAGTGAATACAATCATGATGTGTATTAGTTTGTTGAAACACAGTAACAGGAATATGACATTTATTCCTATTTTATAAAATGTTTACAGTGTTACCTTGTATCTTTGAATTTATCCACTGGATAGTGGATTTAAACCACCTCCGGACCTTGGATAAATTTATCCGGTAGATAGCGATTTTTATCCGCTGGATAAAGTTATCGAAGCTTCGTGCGACGGAAATCACACGCTGGATAAAACTTATTCGTTGGATAGCGACTTATCCGTTGGATAGCGACTTATCCACCTTTCGAACAACCGGCGCAAGGGGTCCAGAGTTCAACTCTCTGGTGAGGCTCTTGTTGTCATACTTTTGTAAATTATGCAACTATAGCTATTAACTAGGCAACTATATAATTAATCGTATTCAGAGTCCGAAGTGCTAACCATTACACCACAGGACATAAACACCTAGAAAAATTACTGAGAAATTCCTGGCTCTACAGTATATCTAACACGCACATTATAAGATAAAGTAATTATATTCGCTGTATTCCAGATTTGGACTCCCGTTTTACAAATTTATAGGACATGCATGTGTCCCAGAGAGTCATTGAAAAAACACTAAACTGCAAGGATTATTTATCAAGCAAACGGATTGTTGCAACGAAAATAAATTTGGGTTTTTCCCCGAGCCGGCGCGAAGCGCCGTGCGAGGGTACTAATTCCGCGGGAGATTTATTACACCCGGGTATTGTGACAGAACATAGCAGAATCCAAAGCTGCTCAAATTCTATGTCGTGGACCGTGGACGTTCAAGTGGTCATGGTACTTGTGCGCATGCGTGAAATGCGAACGAGTGAGACCAGTGAACTCTAAAAAGACTGGAACGATAACTTGGCCGCCATCTTTGAAGCCAGCACTGATGGCCGCCATGAAGGCCAAGAGTTGAAATTACACCACCAAAACAACGCCGGTTTTTATACACAAATCCATCTCATCTGATCATGAATAAAAGCTTAAAATAAGCATTGACACTTAGATTTACTAAAAAACAAGTTTATTAACGTGAAAAGTGCAAACCTATTTTTTTGCGAGTTGAAGGCGAAGTTTTTTTTCGGCCCGTTCAAATTCTTTAAATATTTCAAGTACAAAGCTGGTACCTCGCCGGTTTTTACAGTAAGATGATGCGGATTACTAGGTCTATCCAAAAATGGTAAATTCGTTGTTTAAAGTTGAAGTGGTCAATAAAAATTGCACTTTCTGGCAATTTTGCCAAAAAAACGATTTTTACGGAATTCTCACTCGCCCAGTTCTTTTGAAGGCTTGATTTGCTCGCGCGGCTGCCGCCTTAATCAGCAAATTATATTCAAATCGGCTTCATCCAATGACTAGTCTTTATTGTTGATTATGGTTCCAGTCTTATTAGAGTCACTGGTAGACCACTGAGCTATAAAACCTGGAGGACCGGCTCGTCATTTTTCAGTAACTTCGCCGCCATCTTTTTGAACCGAAAACATGGCGGACTCGCCTCTGCGCATGCGTAGAAGCTGCTGCTGACGCCACATGGTCCTAAATGGCCATGGTAGTTACCTCTGACCAGGCTCAAATCCGAGCCTGCTTTGAAAACATTCCCCTCCTGGATTTTTTTAAAAAAAATTATTTTGTGCGAAACCTTGTTGTTTTCGATATATTTTATATATAGTACGAAAAAAGATTCAAGATGTATACAAGTCGTACACGTTGTTTTACCAATACCAGGCTAAATAAGATATAACCTCAAAAGATGGAAAAAAAACGTCAACTACCTCACCGGTAATTTTCATTCTTCCGAGTTTCATTGATTTATTCATGTTTAATATTTACAATCCGCATGAAATCCGATTGATTTTTGAACTTCTAGAGGAAACGTCTAAGAATTTCTTAACTTTTTGTATGCCAGAAATTGTTTGGATCTGTTATGGAGATAAATTGAAGTTTTCTAAACTCTAATGCATTTATCAACATTTTATGTGCAGAAAATACAATTTCAGCTATTCAGTCATATTTGATTTATAGCATTGCTCATTTAACATTCCTGATCATGGATGCACCTTGATACAGTCTAATACCTGTGATATTGTCCATTGTGACAATGATTAGTAGCCTACATATTGAGAATTGTATTTCAGAATTTATAGCTGATATGTTACCAACTGGTGTAGGTTTTCTTTTACTGCAGTTACAGTGATTTCATGTTTCAAAGGAACTTTCACAATGAAATGGGGCTTATTCACTCTCTTATGCTGAATTATCCCCATTAACTAGCCCTCTTGGGGGGGGGATGATTTAGGAAATTATTTAAGAAAGGTTTCTTGTTATTGATTTGAGACACAATCCACACAATGAGTCAATGTTTGTATTCATTTATTTGAATTAAACTGTAAGAAAAAGGTTAAAATTAAATCAATATGGCATTATCAATGAGCAGCTCATGTGTATGATACATTGCATTTTGCTCTAATTCAATATTTCAGAACAAAGGAATGAAAGGATGCAAGCCATCTCTTGCCTTTTTTCCAATTGGCATCATATGTAATAATTAGCGTAACGAGACGGACTCGCGAGATTCACGCGCGACGTGAAACATGTGTTGTGTAGAGTTGAGAGTTTAGAACGAACTTCTATAATTTTGGAAGCGATATATTTTGTAAAATTTTATGTTTGATTATTATAATTTCATCATTTAAATCGAGTGAAGATCTTATTTTACATCATGGTCCTTCGAGCCGGATAGAATTCGGATAAAAATTGAAAATGTCGAGTGAAAAACAGATTCGAATACGTGGCGGGCATCGTGCTTACGTTAGCAAACTTATTGAGAGTGTCAACGGAATTATCGAGCATTTTAGCGGATCTACGAGCGAAAGAGAAAAGTTAGAAAGTCTCAAAGTAACTTTGAAAGATAAGAAAGAAATTCTTAAGAGTATCGACGAAGCTATATTGGAGTCAACGAAAGATGAAGGTATTAATAAGGAGATACTCGAAGCCAGTGATATCGGTGAGTCTATCAATCGAGCATGTGTTAAGATAGATAATGCTCTGAACCCGGTGAACATTAATATGGCAACCCCGTCTTCAAACAATTCACAAACTGTGTCAAATAGCAGTCCTACTAATATACAGCTCCAGCTATTAAAGCTAAACTACCAAAGTTGTCATTAAAGAAATTCTCAGGGGATCCCAAATCATGGCAGTCTTTTTGGGACAGTTTTGAAGCTGCAGTACATAATAATAACAGTCTATCCAAAATCGATAAGTTCAATTACCTGAAGAGTTTGGTCGAGGGCAATGCCGCTTCAGCTATAGACGGTTTTGCACTAACTGCAGATAACTATGAATCAACAGTCCAATTGCTTAAAGATAGATTTGCAGACCCCCAGATCATCATATCGAGTCACATGGAAGAATTATTAAATTTACCAGCTGTGAGTGACATACACAAAACCAGGAAAATTCGTCAACTGTACGACTCAATTGAAACCCACATTAGAAGTCTTAGAAATCTGGGAATAGATTCTAACTCATATGGAAGCCTTCTTGTGCCACTTATTGTCAATAAGCTCCCTGAAGAAATGCGCCTTATTGTTGCCCGAAATTTAGAGAGGAATGAGTGGAACATTGACCAACTGTTGCGTAAGTTTAAGTTGGAACTTGAAGCCAGAGAGAGATGTAATACCATGTCAGAACGTAATTCATCCAAACCATTTGAAAATAAAGTGCGATTTAGAGGGAAACTACCCCATTCATCATCAACCCTGTTATCGAGTAAAGGTCCATCAACCATACCCTACTGTAGTTATTGTTCGGAGCACCATACATCAGCATCGGGCCCTATTGTGACGGATAGAGCTGCCCGTAGAGCAATTTTAAGGAAAAAGGGAAAATGTTTCTTATGCCTGAGATCTGGTCATATCATTAAACATTGTGATTCTCATTATAAATGCCAGAAGTGTGGTGGTCATCATCATCTATCAATCTGCGAGAAGAATGACAGTAAACCCCCTGCCCCGGGAAGCGAGGCAGACCAACAACATAACCCTGAACAAAGCCAGAAAGATTGTAAGCTCAAACCCAAACCAGACAATGGACAGGAAACCCAAAGTGAAGCATCGACTATGTATGTTGAGAGCAATACAGCGGTTCTTTTACAGACAGCTCAAGGTTTAGTGGGTGAAGTTGGAAGTAATGCAGACAGAAAGCATAACGCTAGAATTGTGTTCGATTCGTGTAGTCAGCGGTCGTACATATCGAACAGACTCAGAAATACCCTGAATTTAGAGACGGTTGATTCAGAAAACCTACTTATAAAGACCTTCGGGGACGAAGCCCCTAAAGTCCTAACATGCAATAGAGTTAAGTTTGCAATAACAGATACCGAAAGGAATGATATGTTGATGGATGCATACAGTGTGCCTACAATATGTAGTCCGATTAGCAATCAGTCGATTAAAGTAGCACTTGAAGAATACCCGCATCTTCGTGGTTTGAATCTTGCCGACAACCCAGGTATGTCTGATGATGATGTACAAGTGGACATATTGATTGGTGCCGATTACTACTGGAAATTTATAACTGGCACAACAAAGCGTGGTGGGAGCCCTGGTCCAGTAGCTGTCCTTACTAGACTTGGATGGGTACTGTCTGGACCCGTGATCAAAGGGAATCAAGAAAACCGCAGCTGTTCCGTCAACCTCAATGGTACTCATGTCCTTCGCATCGATGCCGAACCAGTTACGACAACCCCAACCGACCGATTGCACGACCAATTGCAAAAACTGTGGGATCTAGAAACGTTGGGAATACGAGATAACGAGCCTACCACCGAGTCAAAGTTCATGGAAGACATAAGCTTTAATGGAAACCAGTACGAAGTTAAGCTACCCTTTCGAGAAGAGCACCCTCTACTACCAGACAATCATGTGGGTTCTGTGAAACGGTTAAACTCTTTGCTAACCCGATTGAAAGCTAACCCCAATCTTCTACAGGAATATGACAATATAATAAAAGATCAAATCAAATCTGGTGTCGTAGAACCTGCTGATGATGTCCTTGTTCCAGTTGGAAAAGTTCATTACTTACCACATCGTGAGGTTGTCCGAGAAGATAAGAATACAACGAAGGTCCGAGTCGTATATGACGCGTCGGCAAAAAGCCCTGAAACGAGTTTAAATGACTGTTTGCACACTGGACCCTCTCTCAATACCCTAATATTCGATATTCTGGTTCGATTTCGCGCGTATAAAGTGGCGATGATCGCTGATATTGAAAAGGCGTTCCTGAATATTTCTATCTCGCCAGAGCATCGAGATTATTTGCGCTTCTTTTGGATTGATGACATTCATGACTCAAACCCGAACATTGTAACTTTAAGATTTGCCCGACTAGTGTTTGGTCTCACATGCAGTACAGCCATTTTGAATGCTGTACTACATCATCACCTTGTCCAATATTCCACCATTGATCTAACCTTTGTAACCAAAGTGTTAAAATCCCTCTATGTGGATGATCTTGCATCTGGATCACACGATACAGAGTCAGCCTTAGAGTTAGCTAAGAAAATCAAAACCCGATTTTCCGAAGGAGGTTTAAATATGCGCAAGTGGCTGAGTAACAGTAAAGAGTTGATGACAGAGTTTCAAAACGATCCACAATTTTCAGAAAGTCCTCAACAATCATCCAATTTACCGAGTTCAGTGATGGAAGAAGATCAAGGATATTCAAAGTCTGTCTTAGAATCCAAACAACTTAATTCCCATCCTCGTGTTTTGGGTCAAGTATGGAACCCCCAAACGGACACGTTAATTATGATTTTTTCTGCCGCCTTGAAGAACGTTGAGAAAAATCCAATCACAAAGAGAAACATTCTAAGCGTTGCGGCAAAGTTTTATGATCCATTAGGTCTTATATCCCCAGTAACCCTTCGGTTTAAACAAATGTTTCAAGAGTTGTGCAAGAGTAAAGTAGACTGGGACGAACCACTTAATGATGAATTTTGCCAAGAATGGACTCAAATTGTTCAGAAATTGAAAGAAGCAAACCACATGAGTATCCAAAGATGTTATTGTCCAGAAGCATTTGCTAGTGAAGTTAAGTCAGCCGAGTTGCATTCATTTGGAGACGCATCTGAAAGTTCCTATGGTGCATGTGTCTATCTTCGATGTGAACATTCGGAAGGTATTCATTGTGATTTAATTGCTTCAAAAACGCGAGTTGCCCCAATGTCGAAACAAACGATTCCTCGGCTAGAACTATTATCGAGTCTCGTAGCATCACGGTTAACCAAAAGCGTAAAGGAAGCATTGAATGACGTTAAAAAGATCGATTCAGTTACATATTGGTCCGATCTACGGTCGTACTAAGTTGGATACGAAATTCTAACAAAGAATTCAAACAATTTGTCGAAAACCGATTGGTAGAGATAAGAAGACTAGCTCCCCCAAAGTTATGGAGATACGTCCCTACCAAACAAAACCCCGCAGACATTGCATCACGCGGAACAACAGCGACCCAACTTGCAGAAAACAAATTGTGGTGGAACGGTCCTGAATATCTAATAAAATCTAATGAACATTGGCCATCTCAACCCCGTAATGTTCAAGAAGACGATTCAGAGTTAAAGTCTCCACGAATAAGCGTTATTACAACAGCCGTTAATGTTGCACAAAATCCAAGTATCATGGAACTGATAGATGTTTCGAAATACAGTAGTATTGTAAGATTACTTCGAGTGACAGTGTATGTTTTACGCTTCATTAACAATTTTAAGAAACGTGCAAAGAATCTTGATACCACTCTCGGTTTGATTACCTGTGAAGAAATTGACAACGCAGAACTAAAATGGATAAAAGACATTCAGTATCCAATGACCAAGCAAGCAAACTATGAAAAGGTAAAGAAGTCCTTAAACTTGTTCAAAGATAAGAATGACATTGTACGATGCCATGGGCGAATACAAGAATCACCCTTACCCTACGATACGGAAATACCCTATCCTTTTACCAAGTGATCATTACTTTACGAGACTAGTTGTTCTTCGAAGTCACGAACAGGTCATACATAATGGAGTTCGAGAAACTCTAACGCAAGTTCGATCCAAATTTTGGATAACGAAAGGTCGCCAGGTCGTGAAAAAAATCATGTCGAAATGCGTAATTTGTCGACGATTAGAAGGTCCACCTTACGGTAATCCTGAAGCGCCACCATTACCAGAGTTTCGTTTAAGCAACGAATTAGCATTTTCCAAGATTGGCGTCGACTACGCAGGTCCCATGTATGTGAAGGACATGTATAGTCAATCGAAAGATATGCACAAAGTTTACATATCCTTATACACTTGTGCGAGCAGTAGAGCTTTACATTTAGATTTGGTTCCGGACATGACAAGTGAAGCTTTTGTTAGAAGTTTAGAGCGATTCATTGGACGACGTGGAATCCCAGCACTGATTATTTCGGATAATGGGAAAACGTTCAAGGGAAAAGAAATCAAGAACTTTATAGCGTCTAGGGGTATTAAATGGAGATATATTGTAGAAAAATCCCCTTGGTGGGGAGGATTTTATGAACGCATGGTCAGAAGCGTTAAAAGATGTCTAAAGAAAGTCTTGCGGAATGCTAGGCTCACTTACGAAGAACTTCTGACATTACTAATTCGAGTAGAAGGAGTCCTGAACTCTAGACCATTAACGTATGTATATTCTGATGAAGATGAACCGCTAACCCCCTCGCATTTGGTGTTAGGTAAGCGAATACTTACGGTTCCAACGCAAGTAGAGATCGACGCAAACGACGAAGGAAAGAACGAATTGTTGAAGAGAAAGAAGTATCTTAAGAATGTCCTAAAACACTTTTGGAAAAGATGGAAATCGGAGTATTTGACTCAACTGCGTGAACAACATCAGCCAAGCAAGAAAGGCGGCCCAAAAATCAAGGTCGGAGACGTCGTTTTAATACAGGAAGACAATGTTAAAAGATTAAATTGGCCCATCGCAGTAATAGAAAGTTTACTTAAAGGAAGAGACGGAAACGCTCGAGCAGCGACAGTAAGGATGTTCAATAAAGCTGGAAAACTCGCGACGACAAGAAGAGCGGTACAAAGATTGTATCCAGTTGAAGTGAACGATAGTGAACGTGAAGTGACAGCTGAGTTTCCAATTACCTTTGTCGAACGAGCAAAATCAGAGAATACGGACTGAAACTGTACTTACTGAAATAAATTATTTATGGTTGTTTAGTTATTAGGTTGACAGACATTTCTGATCTGTCAAGGTGGGGAGTATGTAATAATTAGCGTAACGAGACGGACTCGCGAGATTCACGCGCGACGTGAAACATGTGTTGTGTAGAGTTGAGAGTTTAGAACGAACTTCTATAATTTTGGAAGCGATATATTTTGTAAAATTTTATGTTTGATTATTATAATTTCATCATTTAAATCGAGTGAAGATCTTTTACATCATCATATTCCTGCAAAATAAGAGAAACCTGATAAGTCTCACTTTCACAAAGTGAGTACAAGTACAGAAATTATAGCTATTAAACCATGATAAATCCTGTCAAAGAAAATATAAGGCTTTAACTGCCACTCCACTGACTCAGTGGTTGTTAAATAACCTGCCTGAACCCCTGCCAGGTCAGGCAAATAAATCAATATAAAGTGACTAGTATGTCATGTTTAGCTAGAAATATACAGTCTGCCACATACCCACAAACTTATAACTTGTATACATTCTACTAAAAGTTGGCTGTTTGAAAAAATTGCATTATGAAAATTTACCAAAAAGGCTGACATAAAAAAACTAGTTCACTGTAACATACAATAAAACTTTTATTGAATTAATAATTATGAAATCAAAATATGTTGTTGGCAAACATTTTTGCTTTTCATAACAGCAGTTTTGATAGACTTACTGGCTTTGAGCTTTAATTTTGAGTCGTATACTAGTTATATACTGAAGTCCAGACGGAAGAAACGAAAATATTTCAAAAAGATTACCTGATTCTCTTCCGATAAACATTTACTACATCACAAGTAGATCAAGAAACCACAGCTTCGATAATTTGTAAAACAGGGAAATCCCGGAAACGGAAGAAACAATTTTAATTATAATTTATTATCTTAAAAACAAAAAGGTAGGAAAAAATTATTCACCGAAAACCAAAAGTATTTTTTATCAAAAACCAGGAGGGAGATGACTTTTTTTTGTCTTTGGATCGCGGTTTGTCAGCGGTAACTACCCAGGCCATTTAGGACCATGTGGCGTCAGCAAAGCCTAAAATCCGCAATCTTTTTGGCTTCACTTGATGATGGCGAGCCGGTCCTCCAGGAATTTATTATAGCTCAGTGGTGTAGACCAGTTCATGGGTTGTTCACTGGTGTAGACTAGTAATCAACGAACGTTCTGATTGGCTAAGACAGAAAGTTTGTAATTCAATGAGAACGTCAGCAATTTATATTAACTGTCATTTCGTAAACATTTTTGTAAAAGCGTTTGATAAACTTTGTGCAAAGAAAGTAAAACGAGAAGAAACAAGATATATGAAGCATGACAGTTAGCAAAGATGAACGTGGATACGGTCAAGACAAAGCCGTGTAAGAGGAATAATTCATAATCTGCAAACTTATAAATGTTTTCAAAGACAAAGGGTACGTGTTTACTTTGTTTATTTCGTATTTGTTTCGCGATAAGAATGAGCCGTATTTGTATACTTTTCGGCTTTGTATGCCGTTCATTTGTTAAATTTTCAGCTTTTTCTGCAAACGCATAAACCTGTGAAGGGCTATTACACCTTTGCTTTAACTTCAAAGAGTGTTTTTGAAAGTGTAATTTGAATTTTGGTATCAAAAATACACACTATATTTATAAAGTATACTGAAACTTTTAGCCGCCGGCGTTGACTGCAATTACAGAATAAAATAACATTTGAAGTTTTTTCTTTGTCTGTGAAGATTTTGTACTGTTTTAATCGTTTGAAACTTCGATTTTAAACGTTACTTAATTGCTGGCATGGTATAATGCAGCAAAATTGAACGGGCAATGTTTACACTAGCTTTGTGATTATTTTTGTATTGAATGATGGAAACTTTAAGACTGATTTGAGTTTTGTGTCATTTCATAATATAAAATTTAGGTCAGGTTAACTCAGGAAATTGTGCACTTGGTTTGAAATAGCGAGGGGTTGCTGCATGCATGTAATTCTAGTAATTCACTAATTAGTACGATAAAAATGTTGGATTTTTTTTTCATTTATAAAAGAAAAGGGAGCGAAAGGAGTTGAACCACTGACCTCTCAATCTGCAAACGAATGCTCTACCACTGAGCTACACTCCCCGATCGTGCATACCTGTGTAATGCTATTCTCCTAGGTACCTGAAAGAACATTTCCTGCTGTTCTTACCTTATTCGAAATAGCACAAGTTTCATATTCATGGCATAAAAGCAGTGTGTAGCAAGCAGGGTGGCGCAGTGGAAGCGTGCTGGGCCCATTACCCAGACGGTCAATGGATCGAAACCATTTCCCGCTAAAGTTGTCATTTCAATAAAAATATTTTTCAGTGCACATTCTAGGTGTCATTTTTTGTTCAGAAATGTAATTTTTCTTAAATGGAGTGTAGGAGAAAAGCCTGAACTCAAAAACTATACTCCCCGATCGTGCATACCGGCATGCGCTGATATTTTCTCAGATACCTGTAAGAACATTTCCCGCTTTTCTTAACTTATTCGGAAAAGCACAACTAAATAAAGGAAAATACAGATCTGTGTATATATCCATGGCATAGAAGCAGTGTGTAGCAAGCAGGGTGTGGCAGTGGAAGCGTGCTGGGCCCATAAACCATGGCCTGCTTGCCCGTCTAGCTTGAAAGAGAACGGTCTTAACAACAATTTGCCAATGGTCTAGTTAATGACTAAGCTGTATTTTCTTGTGAAAAAAGTGGTACGTGTTCCCGTTCCAACATTAGATGCATTCTCTCAACTTAATTTAAGTATCAACCTAATAAGAATATTGTGTTGCATTGTGAGCTAAGAATTTGCATCAATGTAGTTATATCAACAGTGTCCACGACTGTTTTTCCATGTGCCTCATTAGCTCAGTGGTCAGAGCACTGGTCTAGTGGACGAGTGGTCCGGAGTTCGAATCTCTGACGAGGCTCTTCACATTTTCCACTTAAACTCAATAAGTATCTACCTAATATAAATGAGTTTTGTGATTGGATTTTTGTAACAATAGTGAACAATGTTTACGATTCGTTCTTTTGGAAATCAATTTCTATAATACTTACTTGTGTTTTATTGTGCTTTTTTATCATTGCGGTTCAACAGGCAATTATGTAGTCGTGGCCGAGTGGTTAAGGCGACAGACTCGAAATCTGTTGGGATATTCCCGCGCAGGTTCAAATCCTGCCGACTACGACTTTTGTTATGCAAGTGGAATTTCGTGGCCGTTTCATTTCACGTTTGCGAAACCATAAAAAAGCACCATAAAAAAGTCGCACGAATTCATTTTCCTGTTGTTCAGTACTTGTATATGATGATTGATAAGGTCTTCATTGTTGACATGTCTACAACGTCTACATTTATATACTAGATCTCCTCCTTGAATGTATATTGATAGGATTGATACCGCATGGGAAAAGTTTTATCGGGAGATTGCAACTTGAGTTCAACACTGCTTTTTTTCTTGAAAGAAAGAAACTCAATCCCGAAAAAATTTCAAGTTTTGAGGGCAATCAGGGCTTGCACGGGAATCGAACCCATGACCTCTTGCACCCAAAGCGAGAATCATACCACTACACCAGCAAGCCTCACCTGGAGAAATTGTTCATTATCTTTAAGTAATTTAAAAAAATTCCGGTATATAACATGAATAACTAAGGTTTAATAGACTTCCGTCAATTTGTGCTGGCGGAAAACATCCCATTTTGCTGTTGAAAACGAGCCTATAATTTCTGAATAAAGGTCCTAGTATATAGGAGAGATCCTAGAATAAAGGTCCTAGAATAAATATCCTAATAAAGGAGCAATAATTTCTGAATAAAGGTCCAAGAGGACAAGAGGTAATTTCGCTCTAGTCCAATCACCATATGTTTATTTACAATTTTAGTAACCGAATCAAAATGCATATAAATTTTACCACTTGCGTTAAAAGGATATAATATTAACCATTTCACATCAAGTATTAAAAATTTTAACTAGTCTGACTGGTATATGTTTTGAAACGAAATTCCACCTAGAGGCAATTTGTCGTGTTATATGAACATCTTTCGGAATAACAAGAGTCGTAGTCGGCAGGATTTGAACCTGCGCGGGAATATCCCCACACATTTCAAGTCTGTCGCCTTAACCACTCGGCCACGACTACATAATTGCTTATGAATCGCCTATTTTTCTTTATTACTAGTAGCCTGGAACTTACCTGTTTATTTTACCACAGATTTTACGTCATGGGCACATTAATAGGTTCTCTGGAATTGCTATATGCCTTCCCAACTGCTTTTCAATTGGCAGCAGAATTTTGGAATTATAATAAGACTGAGAAGTAAAGGGTGTCGTGGAACTCGCGGTGACGGTCGCCGGAGGCTTTTATCGTAGGAATTGATTACTGATAGAAATCAGGCAGTTCACAGAGCGTGTAAATAGATCATGCATCAGGTATTGAGCATTCAGCAGCATATACGAGATAGCAATTCAACTGCAATCAATGGCTGCTAATTCCGATTTCGAGCCTGAGCTGTTTTGGTCATGGACGTTAAGTTTTTATTTTTATTAGTTGTTCTCTACGGTATAAGATATTACACGCTTTTTTATTTCAAATTAGAACTTATTTAAGATGAGCCTACACAAGAAGTTTCATTATTTACCATGCACAAGTTTAGGGTTAGGTATACGTTACCTATATGAACAAGCTTTGCTCCTGGTTGATGATAACAATAGAACAAAATAAAATACAATGAATTAGTATAGAAATCAAAATTTTACTTTTTGAGTTTAGGTGGATAATTTGAAGAGCCTCGTCAGAGATTCAAACTCTGGACCCCTGGTTTACAAGACCAGTGCTCTAACCACTGAGCTAAAGAGGCATGCACCCGTAAAAAACATGCGTGGACATTGTCATAATAATTACATTGATGCAAAATGCTAGCGCACAATCTTTGTATGAGGTTGATACTTAGATTAAGTTGAGAGAGTGCATTTAA